GTGAGTGAGTGAGTGAGTGAGTGAGGGAGTGAGTGAGTGAGTGAGTGAGAGAGAGAGAGAGAGAGACTTTACCTTTGGTTTAGTGTGTCTAGTGAAAGGTACACCCTCTTCAGCAGTGTGTGTGTCCAGCATGTCCTTACTCTGGCTGTCTGAACTGAGGGTGTCCATTAAGCTGGTAGTGCACACTGAGTGAGTGTTATAACCACTATCCACCTGCAGAGAACACGAGGGACACATTAAACCTAAAAATTAGCTCAACCATAGTTCACAATTCCATCATAAAAGCTTGCCAGATTTATAAAACATAAACTTAGTTACGGTAACAATAATATGTAATAATGATTAGGCTACATTTTAGTCTCACTATTATTAAATAGTGCTTGGAACCCCTGCACTTACATATATAGTCATATATACAACAATAAAAAAAAAATAAAAAAAAAACACCTGGCACCATCTCAGATTTCTCACCTGATACAGGCGTCACAGAATGCTGAAGTCTGATGGGCGACAGAATAGGAGACTTGAAAGCAGGCGACGATCTCTCTGAAAACATGGGACTTCCGACACTGCCCAGACTGTATGCTCGACACTGGCCTTGGATGGGACTGGATGAAAACTGGCCCTGAGGATTATGGATAAAACATAGTATTCAATTTTAAAGATCTCAGATATCAAGTACCGTTGATCCATATTTTACTGGTCTACAAGAATGTAGTTGCACACTTGTAGTTTCATCATCTATGATCTGGTACGTACAGACAAGGGCGTCCCAGTTGGAATGCCACACTGAAGTGGAGAGACAATAACAGAAGACATCATCTCTCGACTGCTGGGCGGGACGTTATGGGAATATCTGTCTGGGCTGGAAGGGGTAGAGGACTCAGAGCCGCTGTCATGGCCATCAAGAAACAGCTTCCGCCGCAATGAAGAGGAGCTGAGGCTCTCCTGCACCTGCTCGGTTAACTCTTCTGTCCTGTAGTAATCACCTGTTACAACAGAAAGGAAATTCTCAAGTTAATGTTTGTTCAAGTTGCTAATATTTGCCACGTTTACATCATCAATAGACAAGATCTGACACTCATAAGATGAATGAAGTTATTTGAAGTCAGACTGTAAACAACCTTTTTGTATTTGACCTAATATTGTACTCAGTCAGACGCACTCTCAGGATTTTGTGGAGGGCATCTGGTTATGGATATAAGTGGTCATTGCATAAAAAGCTTGTAGAAATGTTTTAATATGAATAAAACAATGTAAGATTTTCACCATTTGCTTATTATAAATTATATTATTGTCATTACGAATCCCCCTGATATGAGTTCTTAAAAGGACAAATATTTAATCTTATTTCTCAGGTCATATAAAAAAAAATGCATACAAAGTATTAATAAGAAAAAAGCAAAATGGTGATTAAATAGTTTTAGAAGAAATATAGAATGTCACAGTGTTTTTTTAAAGTCTTTTCTGCTCAAAACAGTAATACTACGAAACAGTATTACAATTTAAAATAACTTTTTTTTTCTATGTGAATATATTTTAAAATGTAATTTATTCCTCTGATGTAAAGCTGAATTTTCAGCAGCCAATACTCCAGTCTTCAGTGTCACATGATCCTTCAGAAATCATTCTAATTATGCTAATTTGCCGCGCAGTAAACATTTCTTATTATCAATGTTGAAAACAGTTGTGCTGCTTCATATTTTTGTGAAACTGTTGTTTTTTGAATATTAAAATGGTCAAAAGAACACCATTTATTTAAAATAGAAATCTTTTGTAACATTATAAATGTCTTTACCGTTTGATCAGCTTAATGCAACACTGAAAAAAATTATTAATTTCTTTCCCAAAAAAAATAAAATAAATACAAATCTTACTGACCCCATACTTTTGAACAGTAGTGTATTCTAAATAATGTTTGCCTTCATTTTGAAATGAAGTAATAATTAATAAAAAAAGGTTACCCAGAACTTTTTCAAGATTGAAGTCCACAGGTAGAGAGAGGACCGTCTGACAGATAGCTAAAACACAAACAAGCAAAGGCCAATTATTCTAAATCCACATATATAAAATTAATTCTAAATTTACAGTGGTGATCATTATTTTAGGAGTTGTCTTTGAGCTGCTGAACAAACCATTTATTTTCTTTGAAGACTGAAGCTCCTCTGTTACCAGTGGGGACAAAGGACCTAAAATGAGACAGTTTAAGTTAATATCTAAAAACTACTTTGGTTGTAATCAAGTAGCACGAAAACATCTCTTTTTTGTGTCATGACTTACTTTTCTGATGTGGCATTTTTACAGATTGTTTAGCTGCTGGTGGTCCCCATGGAGAGGGAACAATTGCACCTTTAGTGAAAAACTGTACAAACAAAAATAACTGAATGAAGCATCTTTCTCTTTGGTAGAAATAAAACGCTTTCATGGACAGTACCTGTTTTATGTAAGGAGATGTAAAGCAGTTTTACCTGTTCAATAGCATGCTGCCGGTTTTCCTCAATCTCAGCATCTGCCCTTAATGTGTTAAAACACAGCTGAGTTAATATTACATTTAGCAGACGCTAATGCGACTTACAAATGAGGACAATGGAAGCAATCAAAATCAACAAGAGAGAAATGATATGCAAGTGCTATAACAAGTCTCAGTTAGTCTATATAACACAGTACACATAGCAAGTTTTTGTTTGTTTTTGTTTTTTTAATTATATAATAAATAAAAAGAAAACAGATAGAACAGAAAAAGAATAGAGCAAGCTAGTGTTAGAGGCCTTTTTGCTTTTGTTAATTGCATAATAAACAAAAACTAAACAAATAGATAGAATAAATAAAGATTAGAGAAGCTAGTGTTTTGTTTGTTTTTTTAAAGAAAACAAGCAGTAAATGAATAGAGTGCAAGTCTAAAAGGGGAATGTTTTTTTTTTTTTAAAGAACAGAATTAGAATATAAAGTGCTAGAATTAGAGGGTCAAATAAAGATGGAAGAGATGTGTTTTTAGCCGATTCTTGTTGATGGCTAAGGACTCAGCTGCTCGGATTGAGTATCATGAGAATATGAACAAATATTTACAAAAAACGACATTGTTGTAAAACACTACATATAAACATACTAACATTAATACCTGGCTTGGCTCAGAAACACAGCCTGGCGGTGAATGTCCTCTGGGTCTATTTCCACAGGAAGTAAATTTGCCATTTCATCAATGGACCATTTGAACTTGGCTGGTGTCTACAACAAACAATACAAGAAGAAATGACGTTTCTCTCCTTTTTCGTGATTTCCCCTCATGTGCGGAGTCAGATACTCACCGCTGATGAGCTCTTGAACACCGACGGGCTGGGCACCAGAGGCTCATGCAGACGGTGGTAGTCGTTTGGGCTCTCAAACGGGTTCAGGATAGCAGGTCTTCCAGGAGTCTCGGGTGTTATATGAATCTCTGCTATGTCTCCCATCTTAAAAACGGCGTCCAGCCAACCAGGCTACGCTTTAATAAGAAAGGAAATGAGTGGAAGACTGGAGATCCTTCAGAGTATCAACAAATCAGAGCGGTAAGCATTCTGTTTGGTTATATATCATTGCATCTTATTAGTAATGATCAAACGATTACTGATCGTATTTTCTGCCTTTGTTAGTCTGCAGACTTTACATGTGTTTAAAAAGACAAAAACGGGTGATAAATATTCTTAATTAATACTTACAACGCAATGAAACTCAAACAAGCGCAACAGAGATCTCTGAATGGCTCTAACGTCTGATTTAATTTTCGCTCAAGAGGTGCTAGCCAATCACAATTCAGCAGAACATGCGAAACAACCAATCAGGTGACGAGAAAGACCGACCTACCGTCTCGACGTAACTTCCTTTCGCACGACCAAAACTTTATTGACAGGATTACCACAGCAAAAAGCGCGAGGTGTGAACAAAACGCAGTTTATGGATATTGTTTAATGCAGGATTTGTGACGTCGCCCGGTTTTTAATTCGCAAATAGTTGAAAGACACCAGGGACTAACAGGAATAGACGTGTCACGGTCATCTGTGTGAATTATTAAATTAATAATTAAATAGCTTTAGCACGATATCATCATGGCCAGTCCCGCGAACGCAAACATGAATGCTGTCCGGGAGACTATGGATGGTAAGAGTCAAATGTTTAGAACAAAGAAATACTCTTTAAAATGTTGTTTCAAAACATCGGTTCGTCAGCGAACGAACTCCTTGACGATTTGAAAGTAACGTATACTGAATGTAATTTTACTAATTTGCAGTGGTGTATAAAGTACCCGAAAGCCATAACGTACTGAAGTAAATGTACAGATATCTTACCAGAAAATGACTTTGGTAGAAGTTGAAGTCACCGTTTAGAATATTACTTGAGTAAAAGTCTTAAAGTATGTGAAATTTATTGTACTTAAGTACGAAAAGTATTTTTTTATATTAAATGTACTTAAGTGTTGAAAGTAAAAGTACAAATAAATGCAAAATGGAAAAGAAGCAAAAAAATAAAATAAAAATGTGTATATATATATATGTTCATACACAGCTTGAGTAGCAAGATTGTGTTTTTTGAGTTTTAATAGACTAATAGACTGCTGCACGCACATTGATTTATTAGTCTATTAAAACTCAAAATTCAAGGCATTCTAAAG